TACCTGTATACCTACCTGTATACCTACCTGTATGTCTACCTGTATGCCTACCTGTATACCTACCTGTATGTCTACCTGTATGTCTACCTGTATGTCTACCTGTATGCCTACCTGTATGTCTACCTGTATGTCTACCTGTATGTCTACCTGTATGTCTACCTGTATGTCTACCTGTATGTCTACCTGTATACCTACCTGTAAGCTCACCCTACCTGACAGATGGCCTTCCCTCCCACCTGCCAGCCAGAATGGGGTACAAATATTTATCATCATAAACTTTTTAGCATTTATAACTTTTCTATTAATACAAGAAAAAACATTCCACGTGTTCTCATCAAATTGAATCTTAAAATAAAATTAAAAAATCCACGGCCAAATACATTTTTATCTCATAAAGTCGCATGTAAGCTGTCAAAACTATTTTTTTAAGTCAAACTTTTTTAAAGCAAGTGGCAAAAATCTGTTAGTTGTTGGTGCTTTCATAAACATTTTACATTGTTTTGACCACAAGTAGATAAAACTTTGATTGACACAGGTTGAATGGGACAGATCATATTTGTAGTACATGGGTCTGACCACTTTAATATTACATGGGACTGACCACTTTAATATTACATGGGACTGACCACTTTAATATTACATGGGACTGACCACTTTAATATTACATGGGACTGACCACTTTAATATTACATGGGACTGACCACTTTAATATTACATGGGACTGACCACTTTAATATTACATGGGACTGACCACACTAATATTACATGGGACTGACCACTTTAATATTACATTGGACTGACCACTTTAATATTACATGGGACTGACCACTTTAATATTACATGGGACTGACCACTTTAATATTACATGGGACTGACCACTTTAATATTACATGGGACTGACCACTTTAATATTACATGGGACTGATTTTTCTAATGTTTAATTTAGTCGGACAAAAACCAAATAGACAGGATTTTATAATTATATTTATGTGTAACATCGCACATGATTTTGTGAATATGAAATGGGCTTTTGACTAATTTCGAGACTATTGTCGTTGTCTATTTACCCTAAAGGGTTTATAATATGTCGGGTACCTATATATATATATATATATATATATATATATATATATATATATATATATATATATATATATATATATCCGGGGAAATTTATATTACAAAGCTCAATGAATGACCAGTCGCCTCTATATTACAAAGCTCAGGGAATGACCAGTCGCCTCTATATTACAAAGCTCAGTGAATGACCAGTCGCCTTTATATTTAAGCTCAGCATGCTAACTGATGGAGCTAACATTTGCATGCAAGTACTCCTGGGAAATGCCGGGAAGAACCAGCGTCCAGGCTAATTGAATATTCGCGCTGATCTTTGGGCGGATGGCACGAAGGAGAACCGGGGTGAGGATTTAGAGAACTCTTCAAGTCGAGAGTTCAGTGGGCGCACATGACTAAGGGCACGACTATGTGCTAGCCAGCTGATGGAGCTGATGAGGAATTATTCGACTCAAGAATGGCCCAGCACGCACAAGAAAGCTCTCTGCCGTTGGCTTCAACTCCATTCTTTTTAAAATCGTCTTTTTTTCCAATCTTTTTTATTTCTTTAATATTTTAATGAGTTCTTGAACATAGAGGCCTACAATTAATTTCTGTAATAAATCCATTTTTTAATATTTGAATGAGTTCTTGAACATATAGGCTTACAATTACTTTCTTTAATAAATCTGGGGGTGCGGGCCACTAAAAAATTTCCGAAAGGGGAGGGCAGTGGTTGAAGTATATATTGTCTATTTGAATGGTAGGAGGGCAGTGGTTGAAGTATATACTGTCTATTTGAATGGTATAGTTGTTTCTACTTAGTCCCGAAGATTTGCCTGAAACAATGAATAAATCCCAGTAGCTTCTAGCTGACCTCTTTCTTTGTCTTCCTTCTTAATGCTGGGCGGCCTCCAACAAAAGCAACGTGTCAACATTTTATGTGCAATATGGCCAACTATTACTGTAATAAGCTGTCCTTACATCCCAACTGTTACTGTAATAAGCTGTCCTTACATCCCGTTACTGTAATAAGCTGTCCTTACATCCCCACTGTTACTGTAATAAGCTGTCCTTACATCCCGTTTCTGTAATAAGCTGTCCTTACATCCCGTTACTGTAATAAGCTGCCTTTACATCCCACTGTTTTTGTAATAAGCTGCCTTTACATCCCAACTATTACTGTAATAAGCTGTCCTTACATCCCCACTGTTACTGTAATAAGCTGTCCTTACATCCCCACTGTTACTGTAATAAGCTGTCCTTACATCCCGTTTCTGTAATAAGCTGTCCTTACATCCCGTTACTGTAATAAGCTGCCTTTACATCCCACTGTTTTTGTAATAAGCTGCCTTTACATCCCAACTATTACTGTAATAAGCTGTCCTTACATCCCCACTATTACTGTAATAAGCTGTCCTTACATCCCGTTTCTGTAATAAGCTGCCCTTACATCCCGTTACTGTAATAAGCTACCCTTACATCCCGTTACTGTAATAAGCTACCCTTACATCCCGTTACTGTAATAAGCTGCCCTTACATCCCGTTACTGTAATAAGCTGCCCTTACATCCCGTTACTGTAATAAGCTGCCCTTACATCCCGTTACTGTAATAAGCTGCCCTTACATCCCGTTACTGTAATAAGCTGCCCTTACATCCCGTTACTGTAATAAGCTGCCCTTACATCCCGTTACTGTAATAAGCTGCCCTTACATCCCGTTACTGTAATAAGCTGTCCTTACATCCCGTTACTGTAATAAGCTGTCCTTACATCCAGTTACTGTAATAAGCTGCCCTTACATCCCGTTACTGTAATAAGCTGCCCTTACATCCCGTTACTGTAATAAGCTGCCCTTACATCCCGTTACTGTAATAAGCTGCCCTTACATCCCAACTATTACTGTAATAAGCTTCCCTTACATCCCTTTACCAAACGAGCCAGCTGAAGAATCTCAGAGTTGCGCCCTCTATGGGTTGTTGGTACATTAAAAACGGAATAGACCGAGCCAAGTGTTTGGATGGGCCTATAAAAATGGATTTAGACATCATAGAAACTATTAGAAACATGGAAAACATAGACAGAGAGGGGGGGAAGGGGGAGACTGATAGAGAAAAAAAACAACTATAAAGTGTGTGGGTGGTAATGTGGATATGCCTTGATTAGCTTTAGTTTCACAAAATTCCTGAAATGCTTTTGTCAGGTTGTTTTTAAACGACAAAACTTCGGCTACTTAACATCGTCATACAAACGTGTCTTTGAGATATAATAGGTAAATGTCTCCATAGAGGCTTGTCTGTAAGATGTAATAGGTAAATGTCTTCGTCTTTAAGATATAATAGGTAAATGTCTCCATAGAGGCTTGTCTGAAAGATGTAATAGATAAATGTCTTCGTCTTTAAGATGTAATAGATAAATGTCTTCGTCTTTATTAAAATGTAATAGGTAAATGTCTCCATAGAAGCTTGTCTGTAAGATGTAATAGGTAAAGGTCTTCGTCTTTAGGATGTAATAGGTAAATGTCTTCGTCTTTAAGATATAGTAGGTAAATGTATGTCGTCATAAAAGCGTGTCTTTAATATGAAATAGGTAAATGTCTCCATAGAGGCTTGTCTTTAAGATGTAGTAAGTAAACGTCGTATGAACTCAATAATTCTGAACTGTGCTGCATCGATTGATTTATTTGGATTTCTCTTCCATCTAGTTTTTAAAAATTCCTCCGGTTTTTTATATCATTTGGCTCATTAGGCTTAATTGGTGCATGTGAAAGAAAAGCTTTTTTTTTTTTACATTTGCCAAGCCATAACACATTTCACGGCTTTAATTATTTGTGCAATCCACTGAACACATTTCACGACTTTAAATATTTGTGTAATCCACTAAAAACATTTCACGGGTTTAATTATTTATGTAATCCACTGAGCACATTTCACGACTTTAATTATTTGTGTAATCCACTGAAATGTTCAACAGACCGACTCACAACCTCCCCCCCCCCCCCCCTCATGGATTTCTTGATTCTTCTTACCTCAAAGATTGCCTGTTGCAACTGTTTTAATTTGCTTAAATTTCGCTCTTCGCCCCAAAACATTGACTTTTGCTTCTTGCCCCAAAGATTGTATGATACCAGTGACTGAAAACATAGCCCCAAAGATTGTATGATACCAATGACTCAAAACATTGCCCTAAAGATTGTATGATACCAATGACTGAAAACATAGCCCCAAAGATTGTATGATACCAATGACTCAAAACATTGCCCTAAAGATTGTATGATACCAATGACTGAAAACATAGCCCCAAAGATTGTATGATACCAATGACTCAAAACATTGCCCTAAAGATTGTATGATACCAATTACTCAAAACATAGCCCCAAAGATTGTATGATACCAATGACTGAAAACATCGCCCCAAAGATTAGATATTTCCTATTTATCCAAAGGTTGTTCTGTATACACCATCTTATCAAGTAAACTAATATGCAGCTTTATTGTAGACTTTTAGCTGTCCATACCAATCATTTATCTAATAACTAAATACATATTTCGTCTTCTATCTTAATTATAGTGTTGGATGGCAATAATTAAGTATACGTGCCAACTGGTTATGCGCAATTTAGGCTGTTGACTCCGATTAGAGCCTGTTTTTTTTTTATTTGCTTCCATAGCTTTTGTCCAAAAAGAACAAACTACAAGGCAGCAATTGTTTGATTTGGTTCTATAGCTTTTGTCCAACAAGAACAAACTACAAGGCAGCAATTGTTTGATTTGGTTCTATAGCTTTTGTCCAACCAAGAACAAACTACAAGGCAGCAGTTGTTTGATTAAGGCGCTTTATCTCCTAGAGAGAAATATTGCTTCCCTGTAGCTCCTAGTTTTTAAACTATTCAAACATTTTGACAACCATTTGAAAATCCAAAACCAACGGGTTTTTTTTTCTCACCAGCTGACAACAACTGCTCGGCATGCAGGCATCCACTGACTCACGAGGCCATGATAGACCATTTCTGTCGGGCTGACATTGGTAAGTCCATGATAGACCATTTCTGTCGGGCTGACATTGGTAAGTCCATCATAGACCATTTCTGTCGGGCTGACATTGGTAAGTCCATCATAGACCATTTCTGTTGGGCTGACATTGGTAAGTCCATGATAGACCATTTCTGTCGAGCTGACATTGGTAAGTCCATGATAGACCATTTCTGTCGGGCTGACATTGGTAAGTCCATGATAGACCATTTCTGTCGGGCTGACATTGGTAAGTCCATGATAGACCATTTCTGTCGGGCTGACATTGGTAAGTCCATGATAGACCATTTCTGTCGGGCTGACATTGGTAAGTCCATGATAGACCATTTCTGTCGGGCTGACATTGGTAAGTCCATGATAGACCATTTCTGTCGGGCTGACATTGGTAAGTCCATGATAGACCATTTCTGTCGAGCTGACATTGGTAAGTCCATGATAGACCATTTCTGTCGAGCTGACATTGGTAAGTCCATGATAGACCATTTCTGTCGGGCTGACATTGGTAAGTCCATGATAGACCATTTCTGTCGGGCTGACATTGGTAAGTTCTTATATCCGTAGGTAAGTTCTTAAATCCATAGGTAAGTTCTTAGATCCATTGGTAAGTTCTTAGATCCTAGGTAAGTTGTTAGATCCTAGGTAAGTTCTTAGATCCTAGGTAAGTTCTTAGATCCTAAGTAAGTTCTTAGATCCTAGGTAAGTTCTTAGATCCTAGGTAAGTTCTTAGATCCTAGGTAAGTTCTTAGATCCTAGGTAAGTTCTTAGATCCTAGGTAAGTTCTTAGATCCTAGGTAAGTTCTTAGATCCATAGTAAGTTGTTAGATCCATTGGTAAATTGTTACATCCATAGGTAAATTGTTTTGAAATTCATAGCTTAGACGCCTATATTTTTTGAACAACATGGCTAAACATCTGAACAACATGACTAAACTTCTGAACAACATGACTAAACATCTGAAAAACATGACTAAACATCTGAACAACATGACTAAACATCTGAACAACATGACTAAACATCTGAACAACATGACTAAACATCTGAACAACATGACTAAACTTCTGAACAACATGACTAAACATCTGAACAACATGACTTAACATCTGAACAACATGACTAAACATCTGAACAACATGACTAAACATCTGAACAACATGACTAAACATCTGAACAACATGACTAAACATCTGAACAACATGACTAAACATCTGAACAACATGACTAAACATGAGCGAACAAGTTTTAAATCAAAACTTGAGCCCTATGTGTTGTGTAGTTTGGTTGGGTTAAAAAAAATTAAAACCATGTTTTTCCACGAAAGGAAAAATGTATTTAATCGAATTATCTCCCCGCAGGAGAAGCCGCAGTGAGTGAGTTCTCTCCCTCTTCCCCTGCCACGACCCGTCCTGGCAGGTCACGATGACCCGCTACAATTGAATTTCCTCCATGGAATTGATCCGTATTTTAATTAAAGAGATTTTTTCCCCTCGATGTCAAAGACGTTGTTTCTTACCGGATTCTAACAAAACAAAAGAAGTCGGGATGATGTCGGTTGTCGTGTCAACATTAGAATTGATGGCTTGATATTTCTCTCCCCTTGTTGACTTTTGTTCTGAACTTGACCTTGACGACTGTAAAAAATATGTTCGAAACTCGACACAGTCGTGTTATCGATTATATATGAGTGAGTTTTGATCAAGCTTGTTTTATTTACTGAACCCGTTCTTTTATTGTTCCAGTGTTGCGAGCTACGATCAAGGAATTCAAAGAGAACAACGGACACATGGAGCTGGTGCTTCACAACAAGAGAAACATTTACAAGACGGCGCCCGGCAAAAAGGAATTCAAACAGCAGACGACAGCAATCATTGAGGGCGGGGCCGGGTGCACGTGCGAGACGATCAACTCCACGCAGGAACGTTACCTGCTGATGGGGACCTGGAAGGACGAGAAACTCGTCATCAACTTCGGCATCGTCTGGAACAAAAAGGACAAGGAATTCAAGAAGGGTCTGCGGCAGATTCGCAAAGGGAACACATGCGAGATCATCTCCAAGGACCTTCTCAACAATGGCGTCGAACCCAAGCCAACAGCGGGCGCGGCAAAGGATGGTCAGAAAAAGAAGAAGGTAAATAATGGTAATGGAAAGAAAGATAAAGAAAAAGATAAAAAGGGGAAGAAAGGAACGAAGAAGAAAAACAATAACAATGAAAAGAAAGGAAAAGCCAACAAGAAAAATAAAAACAAAAAGAACAAAGAGAAGGGGTCATCTAAGTCTGAGCTGGAGGATCGCGCGCTGAGCACTTTCATCAAGGCCGCCCGCTGACTACCCGGTCAGTCGATCGATGACTTCGTGTTTGAATTCTTGGAGCCCACATAACATTACCTGGACATTCGTGGCTTGTACAATCATGAAAGGGGAGGAGAACTCGTGGCTTTTACAATCATGAAAGGGGAGGTAACTTAGGAACTTCCGGTCTACGTGGCATCTGGTCCGTGTGGAGTGACCTCCCATGTCAACAGTCAATGACAAGTTGGCATTTGACATTTGTCGTCAATAGAAGCTAGATGACTTGTGTATAGCAATAGCATAGAACAAATAGAAAAATATCGTGCATATAATTAGACAAGTATCATGTAGAATTAGTTATGGTTATGTCAAGCAATATGTGTGCGCGGGGCAGGACGAACTGTAAACATTGAAATCTGTAAATAACTTGGCTGTCCTTGCATACTTCATCACTTTAAAACAACATTATTCATTTATTTATTCCATGTATTTCTCTACAATTTGACGATGTACTAAATATACACTCATAGGAGCTTTCAGTCTAGTCTAGATGGTTTACCCACACCTTTTAGGAACCTGCAACCTAGTCTAGATGGTTTACCCACACCTTTTAGGAACCTGCAACCTAGTCTAGATGGTTTACCCACACCTTTTAGGAACCTGCAACCTAGTCTAGATGGTTTACCCACACCTTTTAGGAACCTGCAACCTAGTCTAGATGGTTTACCCACACCTTTTAGGAACCTGCAACCTAGTCTAGATGGTTTACCCACACCTTTTAGGAACCTGCAACCTAGTCTAGATGGTTTACCCACACCTTTTAGGAACCTGCAACCTAGTCTAGATGGTTTACCCCACAACCCTCTCTCCTACAAACCCCTTTAATAACCGAAGACACTTAGTACAACATTGGATCCAGTAACTGTACTCAACACATTTATTTTCAAACCTATATTTGCACCACGAGCTGCCAGTGAAATTCTCACCAATGCTACTGAAAGAGTCACAAGCATTGTTGTAGGAAGCAAAGAACCAAGGCAAGACAAACTAAATTATGAGCTCAACACGAGATGATAAGAAACAATCAATATTAGTTTACAAAAATAATAAGAAAGAAATATATTTGAAAAAAATAATTAGAGAGAAATCTATTTGAACAAACAACCCAAGATTGGTGAGTGCCCAAAGGCTGCCAATCAAGCTGTTACTTATGAATGTATAATTGACCTCTCCTTAGCCGCCAACTGACCGCACACAGACACCCAGCCCACTGAACCCCCCCCCTCACTCTACTCCCCCTCTTCACCCTCCACCCCCCACCCCTCCCCCTGCTGGTATTAGAACTGGCACATTTTTAGAGCTGGAGTTTGTTTGATAAACAAAAGGCCAGGTTTAAATATGGCAGGTGAAATCTATTTTTAACGTCTAGAACCGAAACCAACAAATCAGACAATGTAAGCTCAGCAAATATTTCTCTCCAGTCTTCCAGTACAAGACAATGGTAAATGGAGGCTTGACGCATGGAGATTGGGATTGGTTGCATTTTTTTTTATTTCAACAACCAAATTCAGTTTTCTCAACCAGAGTTATGCGATGTGTTCAATGTGTTTTTATCCAGTTTAATCAAGTAGTGATGGGATTTTTTTTTCGAATAAACTTTTAAGTCTGCTACACGTTTGCAAATATTTTTCAATCAATTTTTGTAATTTGGGGGACAAGATGGGTAGGCTACTCTTGCCTGACAGATCTACTCTAGATTAGGTTCGATACAGTGAAACAGATTGGAAACCATTCAACTTCTCTTTGGGGCTTCTTTCATTTGCTATTTTTCCCTCCGTATCTTTTTAGTTTTATAATGCTCGTACATTTTTTAAAAATTGTATAGTTATAAACCATTTCGTCTTCTGTAAAAATCACCTTTGTCGCTAGCCACTGAAAATATTGTAGCCGTTGTTGCGGCGGTGTTTTTATGCTGTTTGACTTTGCTGGAGTGCTGTTAACATAAGGTATTCAAGCATGAACAAATGTATAATACTGGCTCGGCTGGGATGTTTGTTGGTGTTGTATGAAATTAATACTACACCTCTGCGATAAATAATATACATTTCATTTTAAAACAAGTCGTCTACTACATGATGACATTTTCCACATCAAGTATATTGTATACATGCATAGTCAACAGGCTTTTTTTTTTAATTGTCGAGGTTTTGGATCATATAATGGATTGTATGATCCAGCCCACTAGAAGGTCGGGATTAAAGGATTGTATGATCCAGCCCACTAGAAGGTCGGGATTAAAGGATTGTATGATCCAGCCCACTAGAAGGTCGGGATTAAAGGATTGTATGATCCAGCCCACTAGAAGGTCGGGATTAAAGGATTGTATGATCCAGCCCACTAGAAGGTCGGGATTAAAGGATTGTATGATCCTGCCCACTAGAAGCTCGGGATTTGTGTCCAGGTATTCAGGAGAGTGTTTGGATGGACTGTGTTGACTTGTGATATGGACATGATGTTGCTGCTGTTAAATAAACGTTGTATATAATCATTGGATGTATCTTTGGCTCGCATCTTTTGTGTTCGTCTAAAATGGGAAGGTTGTGAGAGGTGGGCTTTTATCAAAGCTGGATGGTGTCAGATAGAGTGGGCTTTTATCAAAGCTGGATGGTGTAAGATATGGTGGGCTTTTATCAAAGCTGGATGGTGTCAGATATAGAGGGCTTTTATCAAAGCTGGATGGTGTCAGATAGAGTGGGCTTTTATCAAAGCTGGATGGTGTCAGATAGAGTGGGCTTTTATCAAAGCTGGATGGTGTAAGATATAGAGGGCTTTTATCAAAGCTGGATGGTGTCAGATAGAGTGGGCTTTTATCAAAGCTGGATGGTGTCAGATAGAGTGGGCTTTTATCAAAGCTGGATGGTGTAAGATATAGTGGGCTTTTATCAAAGCTGGATGGTGTAAGATATTGTGGGCTTTGGTCAAAGCTGGATGGTGTAAGATATGGTGGGCTTTGGTCAAGGTGGAATAGTGTAAGATATAGTGGGCTTTGGTGAAGGTGGGATGGTGTCAGATATGGTGAGCTTTGGTCAAGGTGGGATGGTGTCAGATATGGTGAGCTTTGGTCAAGGTGGGATGGTGTAAGATATGGTGAGCTTTGGTCAAGGTGGGATGGTGTAAGATATGGTGGACTTTGGTCAAGGTGGGATGGTGTAAGATATGGTGGGTTTTGGTCAAGGTGGGATGGTGTCAGATATGGTGAGCTTTGGTCAAGGTGGGATGGTGTAAGATATGGTGGGCTTTGGTCAAGGTGGGATGGTGTCAGATATGGTGAGCTTTGGTCAAGGTGGGATGGTGTAAGATATGGTGGGCTTTGGTCAAGGTGGGATGGTGTCAGGAGGGGGGTGGGGCTGAGCTAAAGAAACTGTTTCTGTTTCTGTTATCCTCTAATCTCTGGACTATCATCTACTGCCCTATTATCTGTCATTTTTCACAACCTAGCCTAGAACTGATATTATATATATATATATATATATATATATATATATATATATATATATATATATATATATATATATATATATATATATATATATATATACTTGCCGTCCCGGCCAAGCTCTGCACTGGCTTCTGTGAAAAACCTCTGTAAAGGACCATGACATGTGTGTTTAGTAATCAGCATATACCCGGTACCCTAACTACAACCAACCAAAACCTAAACAAACAAAAAAACGCAAACATAACACAAACACAAACGCGAATGCGAACACAAAACCAACCACAAACTCAAACACAAACACAAACACAAAGAAAACATAATCGAAAACAAACCAAATCCAAACAGAAACCCAACCACAAACGCAAAACCAACCCAAACACAAAGAAAACACAAACGCAAACATAAACGCAAAGTGCTCACAGTCTAGCCCGGGGCGCCAAATCGCACCATGCTGGGGCACCAGCGGAATCGCCTGTTTCAGTTTAGTAAACGACTATAGTTATATTTATAGTACCCTAACTTATTCATAGTCTTTTGCACTCACTTAAATGAACGTAGGGAAGGTCCGGAGCGCCAAATAGCACCCTGTCGGGTATCAGAGGACGCCCGGATTGGATTCACTTAAAGACTATAGTAACCTTTCTTATCGAGTCTATCGCACTGTTTAAAACAAAATTATGTACCATAGCGCTCACATGATAGCCCAAGGCGCCCAGATCGAACCGTGCCTGGGCGCCGGCGGACGCGCCTGTTTTAATTTAGTGAACAATTATAATACCCCAAGCTTATCAGCATACGGAAAGAAGTAAACATAGAGGAATTTTTTTTCCCCCAACACCAAAACAAAATAATAAAAAGTAAATTCCCGTCCCCCAAGGTAATGTTTATTATAAAGGGAAGTAATTGTGTTTTCCTAATTTATCAAGGGAAGTACTGAGTGCTAAAGGACTAAATGTAAATAATATTCAGACATAATTAAAATTTTTGTGAAAGGCGATACATTTTTAAAAATTGTGTTTGATGGACATGCCGACAATTATCACTATGAGTTTGAAAAATGAAAATTGTTTTACAACACTTTGAATATTATTTTTTTTTTAAATTAGACCATGAGCACTTTATACGTATTACACTATGACGAAAATAATAGATTAAATTCTTATAATCTTTTGTAATCCACGGTTTTATACAAACATACAGAATTGAACTGTATATATATATATATATATATATATATATATATATATATATATATATATATATATATATATATATATATATATATATATATATATATATATATATATATATATATATATATATATATATATATATATATATATATATATATATATATATATATATATAAATATATACGTATGTATATACGTATGTATATACGTATGTATACATATATATAAATATAAATACATATATATATGTATATATATATATGTATATATATATATGTATATATATATGTATATATGGTATATATATATATATATACCTATATATATATACCTATATATATACCTAGCGTATCTATCATAATGACCGTTGGGTCGGACTGAGAATTTCTTTAAAGGTAGCAGAAAGGGGGAAAGGTCGGGCTTTCTCTTTTTCTTTTTAAAGGGAATCATCTCCAGCTAATGTAACATGTAGATCTGAATTCTACAAGTATATGCTCAGATCTACAAGTATTAAATAAATATGAACTAGGGAGAGGAGTGCACTCCTCTTATCAAAGTAAATGAAGGTTGGGTGTAAATCTACATAATTTTATAGGTTATATCAATATAGGTCAAAACTGTGAAGCGTGGGCGGACATCTATGAAGACGTTTCAGGAACGAGGGTTGAATTGTGTGTCGAAGGTAGACGTTTCAGGAACGAGGGTTGAATTATGTGTCGAAGGTAGACATTTCAGGAACGAGGGTTGAATTGTGTGTCGAAGGTAGACATTTCAGGAACGAGGGTTGAATTGTGTGTCGAAGGTAGACATTTCAGGAACGAGGGTTGAATTATGTGTCGAAGGTAGACGTTTCAGGAACGAGGGTTAAATTGTGTGTCGAAGGTAGACGTTTCAGGAACGAGGGTTGAATTGTGTGTCGAAGGTAGACGTTTCAGGAACGAGGGTTGAATTGTGTGTCGAAGGTAGACGTTTCAGGAACGAGGGTTGAATTGTGTGTCGAAGGTAGACATTTCAGGAACAAGGGTTGAATTGTGTGTCTAAGGTAGACGTTTCGGGAACGAGGGTTGAATTGTGTGTCAAAGGTAGACGTTTCAGGAACGAGGGTTGAATTGTGTGTCGAAGGTAGACGTTTCAGAAACGAGGGTTGAATTGTGTGTCGAAGGTAGACATTTCAGGAACGAGGGTTGAATTGTGTGTCGAAGGTAGACATTTCAGGAACGAGGGTTGAATTGTGTGTCGATCAAGGTTTGATGTCGGTAAAATAAATGATAAGTTGTGGTATAAATCTGGGGGCGATGTCCGTAAATTTTGGTATAAAGTCAGTGGCGAAAATAGAAAAAGAAATACTTCCGCTAAATATATATATATACATATGTACATATATATATATATATATATATATATATATATATATATATATATATATATATATATATATATATATATATATATATATATATATACATATATATATATATATATAGTAATTTAAGATAATTCATAGTGAGACAACCAACCACACTAAAATAGGCTCAAACTCATTTCGGGCCTGAAATAATTGAGTGTTTAAAATGTTTTTATGTAATTTTTTTGCGCGACGAAA